TAGGTTTGTCAGTTTTATTGAAGAAGTTTCAAACATTTTCATTATCACACATTTCAGAAAACACATTAAAACAAAGGGTTGCAATCCAGCTGATTCATAGCTTTGCCTATATCTAGCTTAGGAGAATATCTACGAGTGCAGCAACATGGCATTTCATTCTTAGCGGTGCCTCATTAGAGCGAGCTGAAAATTCACCAGTAAGCAAAGTTCTTGAATGTTTAAGAGAATATATATTATATATATAAGAAATATATACATATACAGGAAGAATTAACTCAGAGAGAATGATTAGTAATACAAACCAACCCTTGGCTCATTGAGTGAAAAAGGAAATCATCATGCAAACCATCAGCAAGCAAAGGTCAGAGGTCGTTAGAGGCTCAGAAAAGGGGCTTCCCACATTGTCCCTGCAGCAGAGTCACAGTTTCCAATGATCACTTTTGTGACTATGCAACTGGGCTCATATTACTAGCTGCAACATCACAAAAATGACACTGGCAACCGCTAATTAGCTGGCAAAATAAGAATTTGTCCGTTTTTAAAGTGAGCAGTGTTAGTAAATGCCATTGCACACAGCAAGAAGTGATAGCATAATAGATATATATTTTAAGCAAAGCCCTCACATGTGATGCTAATTATCTTTTAGCTTAGCAGTCCCTCTTTAAAGTGTAAATGTGCTCCCTCTGGGCTCAAGAAATATTTAATTACACATATCAGTGCATGACTAACAAGCTAGTCCAGAGCAATAATGATTGGCCTATTGTTCAAATGAAATTAGGACTCCAGAAGCAGTTAAGACTGACCAGTGGTTTCTGCAGTAGCCCCGGCTCTCAGGGACTGTATTTGATATAGATTTTAGGTAAAATATGTAGAATAATCTCTTTTTGGCAATCTATACCTACATTATAGAGGTATGATAGACTATTCCTCAAGGTTTAATGTATCTGCTAAATGCGAAATCATCTAAAACACTGTCTGATACATAATAAGAGAAATGTGAGCTTTCAGTTTTCAAAGAGACTTGCAAAATTTTCTTTAATAAAAATTAGAAGGTCCACATTTCCACCGACTCTGGGCAAGGTAATTTTGGGAATCCAATTTCTCTTGGTGATGAATTATAAAAAACAGAGGGTTGGTTATGTATATGCTTAATTTCATATATGTATGTGAATATATAAATATACACACATATCCATATATATATATATACAAACACGCTGAATGCACATAAAAACACAGATATTGAAAGAAATGGGAGCAGCCCCTTCCTAGCACTACCTTACTATGGGTAGTGCTAGATGCTCTGCCAGGCATCTATTCTTGGGGCTTTAAGACTCAATTGTCGTAATTCAGCAGAGGTTTCACTTTAACTTGGAAGCTCCAGGTGCAAAACATTTATTCTACAAAGGAATTCCAAACACGTTATTTCAGCGACAGTGCATTAGTTTTTGTTGTTAAAAAAAGCAAACCCAGCAATATCAGATGACCAAAACCCCTGGCCTGTGTTTTCCAGGTGATGGGGACACCCCGTCGCGCAGCCCCCGCGGCTCTCGCTGACGCCAACGAGGTGCTCAGCACGTGGGGGACCTGCCTGCGGAGGCTCCTTCTTACTGCAGTTACAACCAGGAGCAGATTCCCCAGCAATTGCCACAGAGCAGGCTCGGACGCTGTGTTGGAGCAACCTTCACAGCTTAGAGGAACCCCGTGTGAGTTCCCACGAGCGAAACCCGCTTCTGCAGTACCATAAGCAAAGGAAAAATCAACCTGTAACAATCATATCGAAGCCTGCATTTGAACCCAGAGATGAACACCTTGAAAATTCAATTACAGTTTTGACTCCATCCTTCACGCCAGCGCTTCCTTCCTCCCCTATTTCTTCCGCACTGCCACACGCATCCTTATACTCTTACCTAGCCACCGTCCATAGGGATTCAGTGGCTGCACTCCATGATTTGACCTGCAGTGGGGGAGATTTCCCTCTGCTTTGGAATCCTTGTAGTATGCAAGCAAACACTGAGGGATGAAGGATGGCATTCAGTCCTGTATTTTAAGGGCCACATTTTGCCCCCAGCCAGCTGCGTAACCACCTCCAGCTGGATGTGAACCCGGTGCCTACGCACAGTGCCAGCAGCAGCAGCCAGGGCTACGAGCGCTTATCGAAACCCAAGCTCGGGCCTTCGGAGCACGGAGCCCCTCTTCATCCCTCCAGGGGGTTGCAGGGATACGGGAATGCGGGGAGGGCAACGCGCGATCCCGCAGGCGCAGCCGGAGCCGAGACGCCCTCCGCGGGGCTGCGGATTCGCGGCTACACGTGAGCGCCTACGCGCGGCCCTGGCGCAGCCTGCAATCAAATGGAGATTATTTCACGCCAATATTTATCTGGCGCAGCTTTAATTTTCAAATTAAATTTTAGATAGACACAGCAAACATGAGGATGTGGCGGGGAGTTTCACTTTTTTTTTTTTGGCCTTTGTGTATTTATCTTTTAAAGTCCCATTCACTTTCCTTCACATGCCCCAGGGTGTACTTCGTGGCTATTTTCCTCAAATTTGTGCCATCCTTCACCTACAGAAAGTCTATTGAATCCCTGCGAGCGCGGACTGCCCCTGGAAAGCTGGCACTGCCGTGTGATCCAACAGTGACTGAGTGAGTTTTTCTTTGGTGGGCCCATACCACAGAATTCATCTGTGAGATTCCTGCAACGAGGACCATCGAGGAGCCACACAACAGGCCTCAGAGTTGCAGACCAGGGAAATATTGGTAGAACAGAGAAATACAGAGGCACAGAAAAACTACAAAGGGAAGAAATGCATCCATTCTAGATGGGAAACGGGTGTATCACAAAACCAGGCAACAGATTTCTGGGAGACAACATGAAAAATCAACTGACACAGTGCAGCCCGCTTGCCAGTTTTGCTGTTACTGTCTCACTGCAGCATCATGGCCTGAGGGACCCCCTTTCAAAACAGAAGGAGCAAAGGCCAACTGGATGGACGTACAGCTGCTTCGTTCCCCAGACTGCTGCTACTGGGGTAAACTGTTATACTTCGTGTGTTACCTGCGGAAATCCAGAAGCGATCGGGTGGAAGCGGGAACTTTCTGATCATTCCAGCTAAGGAAGTGGAACTGCGTCACTGTGCGTGTCTCATTGGTCTGCAGGTTCTTCAGGTAGAAGCTCCTCACGAGGAAATCCTCACACCAGATGTGCTCGGAGACCAGGTTCACCTACAGCACACGGGCAGGAGCAAACGCAAGTCAGGGACTGCGGGTGCGAGCGGTATCCTCAAAACCAAAAGGATGTCTGGAAGGAAGGAACTGCACCAAAGCTTTATTCTTTATTAGCAAACGGGCCGCCGCTAGAAGCATGATTTGTTATTTAGCAATCGCTGCAGTTTTCAAGAAGGGTTTAGGCGCCACTGCTATTTGATTGAAAAACATTTTAAAAATTCTTGACAGTTTTACTGCAAACTGAGAAATCACTAAATTATATGTTAAGCTGCCAGTCACCTTCCCTTGGAAGTGCCCAGTATGCCCTGCTCAGGCCAGCCCGAGTGGCCTTCAAAATCCTGTAACTCAATTCACATGAGAAGTGAAAGTCAATTTCTTGTGCTATGTAGAAAATTAAACACAGAACATGCAGGTCATGTGCACAGTCATACGTTTGTCTAAATAGCTATAACTCTTCACATTTAGTTTTTCTTCATATTGGGCCACTGTTGTATTTTTTTTTCTTCATCTACTCAGCTGGACAACTGGAAAAATATGACAGCCATGATCAATGCTGTATTTCAACAAAACTGTATGGTTTGGTATTTTGGGCCAGATTTATAAAGCAGCAAATATATATATATACACTTACATATACCTATATATGCATATGTATTTGCAATTGAGACACAAGGTAAAAAATCAGTAACACTCGTTATGAAAGCTACATACGAAGCCTTTGAATAAACATATACATGCAGCTTTCCTAACATGAAATTCACTAGCTATAAACATACCATTTTCCTATGACGTATAAACAAGTGCTTTCATATTTTAATCACCAGCACAACAATTTTAGAGACAAAGTTATTGTCTCTTCTTTTTTCACTGTAGCACTTGGCTCATTACTAGAAACAACCCAATGTAAGCTACCTTGCTGTTAAAGTAATGCCACATTTTCTTGCAAATCTATCAAGACTCAAAGGTCTACTGAGAGCATTCAAGAGACCTGGGTTCACTTTACAGGTGAGATGGGATTAAATGGTATTTTGCTCTGCCCGAAATCAATCCCGGCACTTACTGTGACACTGACAAGCAGAGATTTTGCTTAAGTACCTCGTAGATGTGGTAGAGATTTGACCCTTCATCTGGCCAATAGTGGTAACACTGTTTGATGCCATTTTCGGTGAGGGGTGTCAGCATGACAATAACGACACAGCCGTTCTCCCAGACCATCTGCAGACAAAGAAAGACACCGTGGCCACATTGTGACTGCCTAATTACTGCGTGACATGTATAATTACTCCACTCAGACACACAATCAAAATTTATTCCATTCACAGGAAATTTATTTCGTTTTCATTAGACACTTCTATTCTGCAGCTGCTTTCAAATCCCTGAATAAACTGGCACCATATTTTGCATGCTTCCATGAAATATTAAAGAATTTCCAACGACTTCAATACATGTCTTTTACAAAATCTCCCCTTGCTCCCAGCAGCATGTTCAGCTGCTTTTCTTTCAAACTTCCAGGTCCACAAAGGAAACCCTGAACAAGGTTTTCAAAAGACATAGCTACTTGGTCGTTGATATTTAACACTAAAGCAGCACGGGCACATATAGTTAGCAATATATTGACCCACTAAAGTAAGCATGGACTGGGTGCTGTATCCTCACTCGCTGTCTTGTTGCAGTTTGTCAAGTAGCAAATGCTGCTCGACCACCGAAGCCCCTAGAGCACCTGGAAGAGCTGCAAAAGTTGCATCTGAACAGCAGTGAGACGGGAAATGCAGAACAAAACTCAAACTGAAACTACCCACACAGAAACACTTCTGATGCAGAAAACTCCCTTCCAAAAACACACTTTTGGAAAGGTGTTTTTTTTTTTTTTTTTGGCAAACGTGCATTACTTCTTTTTTTCCTTCCTCCTTCCTTTTCCTTTCGTTTTTCTTTTTCTGCTTTCATTTTTTCCTCCTCTCCTCTCCTCTCCTCTCTTCTCCTCTCCTCTCCTCTCCTCTCCTCTCCTCTCCCTTCTTCCCTGTTCTCCTTCTCCCTCTGAACCACTGCAGGCCCCCTGCCCCTCAGAGCACAGAAGCAGAGGAGCAGAGGAAAAGCCATGGGCATCTTTGCTACCAGCACGACTTGTTACCAATTTAACCCCTGCACCGAGCAGTGCAGGAACCCAGGGCCCCCTCGTCACCCCCGCGTTTGGGGACGTTTCCCCCCAGCAGCAGAACAGGCAGAATTTGCTCGGGCAAATCTGGGTTTCAAATGCGGCTTGCGACAGAACAAAAAGCCTCCTAGGAATTAATACCATGCCACATAATCACTAAAAACTGTTGTTATTATGCTGTACATTGATGTTATATTTGCATACAACTTTCATTGTCTTTTTGCTAGCCTATAAAATTACTGAATGAAGAGCAAACTGCTCTTTTTGTGGAGGGTTATGTTTATTTCACAGAAATATTTATAAGCAACTGCATTGACATGTAAATTCTGTAAACAAAAAAAGCCTTTGTCTAAACTGTGCAAAGATGAGATGATACATTCAATACAAGGATTATTTTTTTCAATTCCATATCAAATCAAAAGGTTCCCCATTCACAGATAATGATGTTGTCTTCTCTTTTAAGAACAGCTTGCATATATGGAAACAAAAATATTTTTCTTCTTTTTCATTATGCAATATAATTAAAACAACTTTTAAAAGCAGCTTAGAATTCTGTATAGAAATAAGTCTAGGGTTTGCACAGACTAGGGCTATTTATAATTTGGGAGAGAATCAGGGGAAAACAAATTACAGTTGAATGTAAGGCATAAAAATAATCTTTCTTCTCTTCTTTTTGTTCCTTAAAAAGATTTTTTAATCAAAACCTCTGTAATCCACCCATTCTCTTGTCAAAAGCTCTCAGCACCACAAAACAGCAAAAATGCTTTTAATTGATATATAATTCATTTTATAGAGATGCAGATTTACAGCTTATCCCTTTCTTTTGCATTTGTATTTGTTTTAGCCCACAGCTGGGAACCTTCTCTGTAGGGAAGGAGATGATATGGGTTTCATTCACTCTACCAGAGTTCCACTTTTTTTTTAAGTCTGCAATCAGACGAAGATAAGAATTCCAAACATGTATCTTACTTTAAAACTAGCCCCACTAAATCAGTACTTTCATCACATAACGATTTAATGTGCCTCTAGAAGGTATAGAAGCTCATTGAAGCCATTACGAAAATGAGGAGAAACACAGTTTTTATGAGTGTAATAAAAATACAATGATCTAGACCATAAACTAATCATCTAGCACTCTGCTTGTGCCACCCAAGTGTAACATTATAAAAGCCCACTCGTTTAGAGAGGAATCCTTACAGTTTGGCAACCCCGCTCATTGGTTCAAAGATCCAGCATTTCATTACAGCGGGGCTGTCTGCATCTCCAAAGATTTCATTAAGCATAAATCCAAATGAAAGTTAATTTAAACAAACAATTTCAAAGTTACTCCAGGGTATAATATTTCTTTTAGGTCATTCTGTGAAAATGTAGAAGTCAAACCTACTATATCAAGGAGGCAATACAGCCTAGTCCGTTTATATGGGATATTCACTAAGACTCACAGACTGTGACTTGGGGACGGCAGCATTTTCCTTGTTTCCTTAGTAACTTGCATATTGGACCATGAGGCTGCTCCCTGGATTTCACAGAACCACAGAATGGTTGAGGTTGGAAGGGACCTCTAGAGATCATCTGGTCCAACCCCCCTGCCCCAGCAGGGACACCTAGAGCACGGGGCACAGGGTGGCATCCAGGCGGGTTTGGAAGGTCCCCAGAGAAGAAGACTCCAGAGAAGGAGACTTCACAACCTCTCTGGGCAGCCTGTTCCAGGGCTCTGTCACCCTCACAGGAAAGAAGTTCTTCCTCACATGGAGATGGAACTTCTGTGTTTCAACTTGCACCCATTACCCCTTGTCCTGGCACTGGCCACCACTGAGAAGAGTTCGGCCCCCTCTTCCCTACATTCTCCCCTCGGGGGCTTATCCCTATTGCTCAGATCTCCTCTCAGCCCTCTCTTCTCTAGGCTAAACAGGCCCAGCTCAGTCTTTCCTCGTAAAATAGAGGCTCCAGTCCCTTCACCATCTTTGTCGCCCAGTTTACCATGTGGCCTGTTGATCATCCCAGCTGCAACGTGGTGACACTTTTCTCAGCAGCTACGTGGCAGCACCTACCACCTCACTGTGTTCGGGAGCCCCAGTGTGGCCATGTGTGAGGAAGAGGCTCCGAGGACAGTGTCTCTGTACCCAAGGAAGAGGCCTGGTCTGCATAACACCAGAACATCCTTTGGGAAACGCCTCTAGTTACCAAAATGTGTTTCAACCAGGCCCAGAAAACAGAGAAGGGGATTCAGCTGCAAATTTACATTAATCCACATAATTCTGAACCTTGAATGCTTGTGCAATAGGGGTAAACCCATAGATGGGACACAAGAATAAGGAGAATACAAGGTCCTCAGGGCAGGGCTTTTCTTCGTATGTATACGCACACAGCCCAGCAAAATTAAACTTTAGACTCTGCTGTTACACAGATAAAAATATAAAACTCAACTTAGGTAACTTAGTTGCGGGCAGTTTCGCGTTTGCAATTTGCAGTGACAGGTTCAGGACAGTAAGAAACAAGAGTTTATGAATGGAGCGTGTCCACCTGAAGCGACAGTCACATGTCAGAGCTCGCTACAGGGGCAGGATTCCTGTGAGGGGAAGGCTGGATCATTCTGTGAGACAGCAGCTTACACGCCTGGAAAAAAACATGTTCATGGTCTTTAAGGAGATTCCGCCATGTGCATCATTCTCACAACATATTTTAGCCACGAATAACACTACAGTTTTCATTTATTACAAATTAAAGGCTGAATTCTCCAACCCACAGATGATATTTTGTATATTTGATACCTGCAGAATTGCCTATGATAGTGACCATGTGCAGAGACCTTCCACTATCCAGCTATCTAGCAGGCTGGTGCCATGTAAAGGACCTGCGCATAGGAGTGAGTTATATTTGGTACAAATACTTGCAGAGAAGCACAGAATTGTTTTCTTCAAGCAAGGAGGAAAATAAAGCCATAAATAGGAGAAACAGTACTGCCACAAGTTGAACAAAACCTCCATTTTGGAAAGCTTAGAAGTATTTTTTGAAGTTAAAAATCTACTTTGGGGGATTTGGCTCTGCATTTTTCAAGTATAACTTCACGATGTTTGCCATTCGAAAGCTTAACGTTGTGGTTGAAAATGACTTATCATTTAGATATGGGTCTGACGGGTCAATCCGGGCAAAGTGAGAGTTGCCATTTACACAGTCGCAGCTGTGTAAGCAAATCCGTACCTGGAAAAATTAAACTACGGCATGATCAAGAATCTATGCTTAATTAACAAGATTATCTGACTCTTATGGCTGCAAAGATGCTTTTAAAAACAGGAAGCGAACGTAAATCCCTCTCTAGTTGATGAGAAGACCTGAGCCCAGTGTACGCCTGGGCTGAATTCAGCAGCTAACGCGGGTGCTCTCCCGCCGGGCACAGCGATGGCTCCGGGGACGACGGTGGCAGCAGGGGCTTCATGTGCCCCTGCTGTTGCACTTGTTGAGAAGCCAGCGAGAGAGGCCGACTGAGGACGACTGCATGTGTCGCAGTAACGTCTGCAGTCCAAGGAAGACGTGAACTGCTCTTACTCTTCTCAGTGGGCTGCTAAATCAAGCCTTATTATTAAATAATTTACTTCTGGATGTTATTTCTGCTGACAAAGACACATCAAGGAAACGAGCCCCACCACGAGGGCCAGCAGTTAGCGCTGCTTTTCGGTCCAACACAGGGAAGGTGGAACCTGATCAATGGACAGAACACGGAAAAGGGCTGCTCCAGACACATCTCCCACCTCATCCCATCCCTAACGCTCCTCTCCCACCTGAGCCCTAACTAGAAATGAGCGGCAACCTCGGTCTCCTTCACTGAACAGCTGTGGAAATCCTAATGCTCCACTTATTTCACATCACCAGACAGGCTACCGGAGCTCTAGGGGCTGCTATTCTGTGCCCATCTCTCCCTTGCTGCTTTCCTTTTATTAAATTAAAATATGCCTATTTTACGCATTGAGCTGCTCTGTCTCTCTTTTGATGTGCTTCTCTTTCTGAAGGTGAGAACTGATTAGACATGCAGGAAGGCCCATTCCAGGCAAGGAAAATAAGATTT